GATTCCAAGACAGATTTCAGATCAAACCCTGCCTCCAACCACTGACTAGCCAGCCACCTAACATCATGGAAACTCAATTCTCCTATACATTATTATATCCTCAGTAGCTTCTGAAAGGTCTGTGCACATGAGACAAACAGTATTAACTGAAGGAATTTGTTGTATACAAGAGGAATTAGTCATGGAGAGAGTCTAGTGTATTTAGATGGATTTTGAACTAAGGAATTAGGTTTTGATAGTGACTAACGAATAAGCTAATATCTTCCTGGTAATACCTGCCATAAAGATTGGGGCACTATAAATGGGTGAGACAGTGTTTGGCTAGTGTGTGAAGTCCCAGGTTCAATCCCCAGGGGTTGGGAATCCAGTTGTGTTTGTCATGTTAATTAATCAGCACTCTGCCCCCCATTGGGGGGCATTTTCTTCAATAGCAATAAACTACAGACACATGTTTTGCTCCTTTCCTTCTGCCCCATCTTTGGAGAAGCTGCGTGAAGAAGCATGCAGCTGTGGCCAGTGGCTTGCAACCACAAGATAATGAAAAGCAAAAGCAGTCTGTTGAAAAACTTAGAGTTACTGCAAGTCTGACGCACTGTCAATTTCCAAAAATCAAAGTATGAGCTGCTTAATTCTAAGACTACCTACTCAGAAACAACAACATTTTAAAGATGTAAGCTATTCTCTGTGAGTTCGAGGCCAGCCTGGTCTACAGAGTGAGTTCCAAGATGTAAGCTATTATGACTTGGAATCCTGTTAATTACACCCGAAAATATCCTAGATGCTAAACATTGGTTAAGATTTTCTTTCTGAAGTGTTTAGAAACATGGCTCCAATAATCTTCACTAGAGCTGTTTGTTTCTGCCATGTACCTGTCTTGGCATCCATCACTGGCATCATCTCACTTAATTCTCAAAGAAGCCCTTGAGGTAAACCAGAAGTCTGAGTTGTGAAGTCATTTGACCAAAGTAGTTAGGCAAGTGGATCAGGACACAGACCTCCCAACCTAACTACATTTCGCCCACTCAGGCCCAAATCACACGATGAAGTGAAAATTCTCCACTTTCTAGTTTTCGAGCCTACAATTTCTCCAGAACATTAGGAGAAAAAAAATTTACTAATTATCTATACATTTGCTGGAAGGATGGAGCTCAGACAGCTGTCAGTCATGGGTGATTATTCTACTACCCAGGAAGAGAAGGTGCACTAGTTTCCTTTGCTGTGTTCATTTAACCTAACAGTGAGTATCTTAAAACTACAAAAAACAAAGGCAGCACTGATTTTAGCAGTAGGAAGCTTTAGGCTGAATCTCATGCTTTTTAAGACTACATAATAGACACTTTTCCTAACGCCACCAAATAAAAATGAAGATGTACTCATTACGTTTAAAATAGATTATACTTTTTCTTAAATATAAAAGTAACACTTTCATTGTAGGAAATCTAGAAAGCATAAGATAGTACGAAAGACAAAAATAGAAATCACCTACAACTAATCCCCCAGAAATAATCATTGTTGAAATCTAGGTTTGGCCCTCTTTCTCCTTCCCCATTTTTCCTGGGCAAAATATTTTATTTGGATATTTAATTCTTTAATTTTTCATTTTATTCAAAATTTCCCCCATGGCAGACATCAAAAAGTTCTTCAAAAACAGACTTCAGAGGCAGAATCTGAATAGACTATCCTTTGTGCCATCCTGCACATGTAATAATCTCTGGTAGTTTTCTCCCCTTTCCTTGATATATAATGCTGGCATGAATATGCCTTTTATTAAACTTTAGACACTTATTATTTTCCCTGTATGGATTCTTAGAAGCAGAATTAAGTCTAATGTGACTAAAAATCTAATTTTCAGAGAAGTAGCAATTAGCCTTATAGCCAATTTTTCCTTTTTCCTAAGACAGGGTCTCACTGTGTGGCCCTAGGTGGTCTAGAACTCACAGAGATCTCCCTGCCTCTGCCTCCTAAATGCTCCTAAAGGCAAGTACTGTCAAACCTGGCCCACAAACAATAAGGTTTCTTTCTCCTTGTTATGTTTTCTTTCATGTTGAATAAGCTGTGAGCTGTAGCGATAGGCTTTCCCACACTCACTGCATTTATAAGGCTTCTCTTTAGTGTGGGTTCTCAAATGCAGAATAACTTGAGATGTCTGCCTGAAGGTTTTCCCACATTCGTTACATTTATAAGGCTTCTCTCCAGTGTGAACCCTCTGATGATCGATAAGGTTTCGATTAGAAGTAAAAGCTTTCCCACACTCACTACATCTATAAGGCTTCTCTCTACGATGAAGTCTCTGGTGTTCATTAAGAGCCTTCCTCACGGTGAAGGCCTTCCCACACTCATCACACTCATAGGGCTTCTCTCCACTGTGAATTCTCTGGTGGTCCATAATCTTGGTATTAGAACCACATGTTTTCCCACACTCCTTACATTTGTAAAGCTTTTTTCCTCTGTGCAGCCGCTGATGTTGAGTAAGGTTGGAACTCCTGCTAAACGCCTTCCCACACTCAAGGCAAGTGTAGGGCTTCTCTCCCGTGTGAACTCTGTGATGAGAAATAAGTCCTGAACTCCGGCTAAAGGCTTTCCCACACTCTCTACATTCGTATGTTTTCTCTCCGCTGTGGACTTCCTGGTGCCGAATGAGATGTGACTTACCACTGAAAGACTTCCCACACTCACCACATCTGTATGGCTTCAGTCCAGTGTGGATTCTCCGATGGACCACAAGGTTGGAGCTATGACTGAAAGCCTTTCCACATTCCTTACACTTATACGGCTTCTCTCCTGTGTGGATTCGCTCATGCACAGTGAGGTTGGCACTCTGACTAAAGGCTTTTCCACACTCGTTACACACGTACTGTCTCTTTTCACTATGGCCTCTCTCACGTGCTGGAGAGTCACAACACTGACTACCATCGTTTTCACAGTCTTGGTCACTCCCTTCTGAGGGTGATTTACCACCTTCAAATGCCTTATCTTTGAACTTTCTCGTCTTTCTCCTCATCTTCTCTTGCTGGGGGCATTCCAGTGGCTCTTATCGTTTCCTTTTAAATTTTTTACTTCCTTGGCAACACTGATGTGGAAAAATAGAGGGTTAAACGTGATCCTGGTTTTTCAGGGATGTCGCTTTAGGATCAATACCTCCTCAGTCTATTTCACCATCTGATTGGAGAAAAAAAGAAGTGTACATGCCCACTTTCTCTGTAGTAAGGTAAGAATTAGTCAAGGAAGACAGGATGTAGTAGATCACAGTGTCTCACATAGAAGGGCAGGTGTTCAAAAGCAGAGAACTGTTCATAATGATGAGAAAAGTGACAATGGTTAGACAAAGGGCAATAAAAAGTTAAAGACAGAGTTGAAGAAAAACACAGCAGGTCCAGTCTCAAAGTATGCAATCAACAGTATAAAATCCACCCTTTCTTCTTGCTCAACTCTCTAAAATGGGAGCAAAACACCTGAAAAGCAAGATAAGAAAGCTCCCTTGGTTCAGTTAGTTGAAACACCTAATGTGCAGACTATCCTGGCTTTCAGTTCTTGCTGAGCTACTTCCTTAGGAACAGTGACTCAGTGGCTGGCATATAGCAAACATTCAGAACTACAGAATAGCAGCTAAGATTGTTTTAGGGTCTGACTAAAGTTTCATCTTTTTCTAGAGGTATGGGCACCAGGCCCCAGTGTAGACAGTTTCTTTCTCACCTGGTCCCACAGCCTTTAAGTCCCAAATAAACACACAGAGACTTACATTAATTATAAACTGTTCGGCTGATGGCTCAGTCTTCTTATTGGCTAGCTCTCTCTTAATTATTAACCCATTTCTATTAATCTGTGTATCTCCACGTGGTCTTGGCTTACCAGAGAATGCCCAGGCATCTGACCTTCCCAGTGGCTACATGGCGACTCTCTGCATCCTCCTCTGGGAGCCCCACCTATCCTTCCTGCCTGGCTGCTGGCCAAGCAGTATTTTATTCATCAACCAATAAGAGAAACATATATACAGAATGATGTTCCCCATGACCCCAGCCCACATCTCTTTATATATTTAAGCTGCTTGGTGGCTGGTCACATCATCCTTCTAATACTGATGACCCTGAATTATACAAAGCATAGCTTCCAGGGCTTATCTTAAGCTGAAGTCAGATCTTTTTTTCTTTTTCTTTTTCTTTTTTTCCTTTTGTTTTGTTTTTCAAAACAGGTTTTCTCTGTGGCTTTGGAGGCTGTCCTGGAACTAGCTCTTGTAGACCAGGCTGGCCTCAAACTCACAGAGATTCTCCTGCCTCTGCCTCCCGAGTGCTGGGATTAAAGGTGTGCACCATCAACACCTGGCTTGAAGTCAGCTTTTTATGATAACTTCAGGTGTCTGTTTTTCAGCATGTTAGTCATTATGAAAATAAAATCTATGGTGTAAACTTGAAATGCTAAATTGAGGCAAACAGAGAACCTCTGCAGGACCAGGCAAGGTATAACAGTAAAGTCCCAAAGACGGTGCAGAGAGTTGGAGACAGAACCCTGAAGAGGGACTGAGACAAAAAACCCCATGTATCAGGGATAAACATGGAGTTTCCAATCCGCTGGACACAAAGCTCTGCACATGTAGGGGTAACCTCAGTAACCCCCAAACCTGGAGTGGCTGAGCTGTGAGAGCACATGGACTGTGACTCGGTGACACTGACTGAGGGCACACTAACTGTGACTCTGTGTCACTGACTGAGGGCACACTAACTGTGACTCTGTGACACTGACTGAGGGCACACTAACTGTGACTCTGTGTCACTGACTGAGGGCACACTAACTGTGACTCTGTGATACTAATGTGTGTTTCCTCTCACGGTGTTTCCTTGCAGACTGACCCCTTGAAGAATTAAGCATGCAGAAGATATGATCTTACACCCTACATTCTTTACTCTATTTAATAGAAATTGGACTATAAGCTACTTTGAGGATTTGACCAGAAGGAAATCTAACCACTGCTACCCTGTGCTTGCCTGGGTAAGAAACACCCTCAGGTGCTTGCTTCGGCAGCACATACACTAAAATTTGGAACAATGCAGGGAAGATTAGCATGGCCCCTGGCAAGGATGACATGCAAATTCATGAAGCGTTGCGTATTTTTTTTTTTTTTGAGACCCATTAAAATACAAGTTTAATGGAAAAAAAAAAAAAAAAGGAATACCCTCAGGATGTCTTAGAATTCCCAGGCATTCTGAAGATAGGGTTGGAGGAGCCAGAGGAAGAAAGAAAAGGCTGAGGGGTCAGCAGGGCACTAATGGTATCTAGACAAATATCCCCCAAGGCACAAGCTCAGGTTGGCATTGGAAGGTGTGAAAAGGCTGGGCTTTTCCCAAAGACACTACACTCCTTCAACTCTGCTTGTTTGGTGCCTTTGCACAATGGTCACAAGGTTGTTGGTCATTAACTACAGTGTGGCTAGGAATAATAAATATCTAAAACAATTAATTGATTTATTAATTGAAAACTAAAGAGACAAATGAGAGAAATGTTTAAACTGAAAACAAACCCTCAAAAATCAAGGGTCTCCTGACCTTAGAGAGAAAGGCCTAACTACAACAGAGGCTGACACCGTAATAGAAAAAAAATAAGATATATGACTACATAAAACTTTCTGTGCTTAAAAAAATAATGACAAAAGTGAAATTTAAACAAGTACAAGTGATGTTGTGTCTCCCCTTCTCCCACAATGCACACTTTAAGCCCTTCGGCCCTAGAGAACAAGGCTTGTTACACTAGCCTGTGGCATACATGGCCTGTCACTGGAGAGCTTAGCAAATGTTCTCTGCAGTGCCAAGTTGAGCACAGTCACGATTTTAGTTAATGTAAGTGCACTCAGAGATGGTGCGAGGTGAATCCACCCAATGTCACAACCATCATGCTTCCTCCACCTGGTCATTCTTTTCAGACTCCATATTCTAGGAGTTGGAGATGGATCCACAGTTAAGAGCACTTATGCTGTGGGCACAATTCCCAGCACCCACATGGCAGACCACAACCAACTGTAATTCCAGTTCTAGGGGTTCAGACACTGTCTTCTGGGCACCAGGCATGCACATGGTGCACAGATATAGATGCAGATGAACATCCATACACAAAAAATAAATATATATATATATATATACATATATACATATGTACATACACACACACACACACACACACACACACACACACAGGAGTATATTTTTTCCCTGATGAGTTTTAGTACCTTCGTTCAAACTTCACTCACTGTGCAAGGTCTCTCTGTTATGTAGTTCTGGCCTAGAACTCACATAGATCTGCTTGCCTCCGCCTCCCCAAGTGCTGGGATTAAAGGCGTGGGATTACCACAATGCCAGGATGTAATGATTTTTTTTTTACAAAAAGACTCCATATTCTAAAAATATAACAACATATTTGTAGTATTAGCAACTACATCTCAACATAACTATTCAGGAGCCAACATTCCCTAAGAAACTGACCAGTCACACTCTTCACAGACTGTCAGAATGTTGGAAGATGGAAGGGACAGTTTACCAGACTATTTTCTCTCTCTCTCTCTCTCTCTCTCTCTCTCTCTCTCGTTTTGTTTTCAGACAGGGTCTTACTAAGTAGCCAAGGCTGACCTCAAAACTCACAGGAAATTGCTCTGAGACTTACATCCAAATGGACAGAGAGGGAAAGTGGACCTCACAGGAGCACTAGGATTCAACGGGAACACCAGGATTCAACGGGAGCACCGGATTCAACGGGAGCACCAGGATTCAACGGGAGCACTAGGATTCAACGGGAGCACTAGGATTCAACGGGAGCACTAGGATTCAACGGGAGCACTAGGATTCAACGGGAGCACTAGGATTCAATGGGAGCACTAGGATTCAATGGGAGTACCGGGATTCAATGGGAGTACCGGGATTCAATGGGAGCACCAGGATTCAATGGGAGCACCAGGATTCAACGGGAACATTAGGATTCAATGGGAGCACTAAGATTTAATGAAAGCATTAGGATACAAATCTGAGTCTCATGGCACACGAGTGTGAGCTCCTTCACATCATTCTTTCCCGTCATCCAGACTCTATCCCTCAAGGTCCAGAGGTTCCCCTCTCATTTCTGTGCTTTCTCTTACCTGATAACATTCTCAAGAAAGCTTCCCTGTCTGCAAGACAAAGTGGTATAAGCATATAATCCCAGCACTTGGGAGGTGGAGATGGGCGCATCAGAGTTCCAGGCTGGTCCTGGTTACATAGCCATTGTGAGTGTGGCCTGGGGTATCTGAGGCCTTATCTCAAACAGAAAAAAAAAAAAAATACGGGGGACGGGGAATAGAAAGGGGAGGAAGGAAAGGATTCCTTTCAATAGTGACCCCCATCCCATTTTCCTTGACTGGCTGTGGTTTATTCAGGAGAGAGGAGAGTAACTCACACTCATCCTTATGCACAGTAGCTTCACTCCAAAGGGTCTGTCTGTCCAGCAGAGCCTCTGTCTGATTGCCTCCTTAGGTTCAGTACAGAAGTTCTTGATGGGCTCTTGGGTCACTGTAAACAGATACAATGAAAGAGTTCTCTGAGACCTCAACTCCACACATTCTCTCAGCACAGTGTCCCATCTTTTGTTAACTTCCTGGCCTGTAGAACTGAACCATCATCCTCATTTTAAAGATGAAGAAATGAGGTCCCCAGAAATGGAATGACTTGTTCTAGCCTTGTATGTCTGAAAGAAATCCTCCTTCTAACACGTCAGAGCCACTCCTTTCGCCTTTTCTGTGGATCTCTAAAACTCTCCATATCTTTACCTACAAAACGCACTCCAGCCGAGAATTCCCCCAAAGTGTAGCTTTTGCACCAGATGAAGAAGAACAAGCCATCAGCCAAACAGTTTATGATTAATATAAGCCTCTGTGTGTTTATTTGGGTCTAAAGGGCTGTGTGGGACAAGGCGGGACAGAAACGCTGCATACAGTGGCTCACGACTACCTGAACTCCAACCCTCTTCCAGACTTTGTAGGCACCTGCACTTATGTTCATAGTCCAACCCCACATCAGATGTACACATTAATAGATCTCTTTAAAAAGACAAGGCAAGATGGCTTGTGTGTGAAAGTGTTTGCCAAGCTAGTCTGAAATTCTCCACAGAGTTGTCCTCTTTTTCACATGCACACACACACACACACACACTCACACACACACACACACATACACACACCCCACACACACACACA